TGTTGCATAAAAAATAAGACACAATGCACTCAACTCACAATCAGACCTTGAACACTGGGTGCAGGATTCTTAATGAATTAATAAAAATGAAAGACAAGGGCCATACTCCAATTTGACTTGTTAATATTGACACAACTATAAACTGCACAATAGATGCAGGGCTTATCCAAAAGTGACACATACCCTGAAAGTAAACTCATTTAAACTACTGAATGTATTATCGCATTTAGCTTCAATTCCATGCACATACACACACACCAACAGAATTTGTTCTTTGTCATTTGGAAGTGTTGATATTCTGTCCTGATGATTCAGCCCATCTAAGGCTTGGAAGTGCTCAAAATGCCAGTCACCTAACACAGTCAATGCAAGAAATGAAAAGGACTTTGACTTCCAACAGTCTAGAAGCCTGAAATAATCCCTCCTACTTCGCAACTCTATAGCAGCTCTGCTTGAAGTCCTCTAAAAGCAAACCAAAGGTGCTTCTTTTTGTCCCTCTCACTCGTACACAGTCTCCCACAGGTGTCTCACTCGATCTTGTATTCGCACAGATGTACAGAGGAGGCCATGACTGACAAGGTAAGGGATCGTGGGGAGGTGTGCGGGTGAAAGAGGAAAATTACCATATGTAAAGAACGGAGGTACCAAGGTCTCTCTTTTTGTCTCCGGATAAAGCAGGTGGGCTACAAGGGACAAGATAAGCACAGGTAGATGTATAGACTCGCAGCGAAGACATGCAAATGGATGCAATGAATGCAAAACACACGTAAGAACAAAAGACGCACGGGACAATGAGTGCAAGAGTGAGAGGAGACAAGGGGGTGCCACTGTCTATCCAGGTGCGTTACAGAAGATACAGCATGTGTATGTGTCGGTCAGTGAGGAGGACAGTGATGGTGTAGAGATCTGATTAGCACTGGGAGCGAGGCTGAGTAGGGTTTCTCATCAGGGTCAGCTTTCACACCAATGTTATAGTGGCACTTTTATTTCTACTGGGGAGATGGGCAAGCTGTCTATATGCCTATGGGAATAAGGAACTTAGGTGGTCCTACAGAGTAGTCTCCTGTGACTTTCAAGTAACTTTATGGCTAGTCACTCGATGCATTGGATCTTCTCAGGTACTGCAAGAGAAGGCAAAAAAAATTGTTTTTAAAGGTTATTTCCATTATCAAAACTTCTATACCATTATCTCAAACTATTTCTACTGACCTGTCTCATGAGATTCAGAGATGCCCATTTTTCTTTACTTTGCATGTTTGAATTTTGACACTGAATTTGTTTCTAGACCCCAGCATCTCCAAATCGCCACTTTAACTACTGTCGCAAGACATTTAAATAAATAATTGCTGAATGTGTTGGAAAGTCTCTTTGCAGCCCTGGAAGCCTAAAAGTTGCTGTGATAAGTGGGCAGATTAGGGGTTCTCACACAAACGGTCAGAACTGGAAATTGTTCAAAGGCCTGCAGCTGGAGGGTCCTCATATGAAAATATGAGTTGTATTATTTAAATAACATTGGGTCCCAGGTTAATACTAAATGTATTTCATATGGATTCCCTGTTTTTCGAGTCTAAGAATTACAGAGTACTCCTGATTTCTGATTAGATGATGGTATACTTCATTCACTGTTTCTGCATACTCTTGACACAAACAATTCTGTAGAGTCAATAGTTAGAAATATTAATAACTGTATAAGGAATTAATTAAAATGTCAATTAACAATACATATATAGAGAGATAGAGTATATAGTATATATTTAATTCAGTGAGCCATGCCTTAAAACAAATCAATGTAGTTTAAGGTCTGTTAAACTTCAAGTCTCCGAATCTTCAGAATTACTGTTTGTTCACCTCTTTTATTTTTCCTCTCTTTTCGCAGCAGAAAAACACTGTACACATCTTCACTTGACCTTGGTTTATAGACACTCATTACAGCGCTGATACATGTGTGTGCATGTGAACTTGTGTGTGTGGTGGATGTCCATTGTGTTTGGAAATGTCTAGGAGACAAAACAAAAAAGCCTGAAAAGTTAGAAAACACAACTGTGAACAAAAAGATTAAGTAGCACAAAGAACACAGGGTGCCGAATGAAAGATAGGGGGAATCTGGATGGAAAGCTTTTAGAGGTTAAATAAAATCTTTCAGTACTGTGACCATTATTCATCATCATTGATTAGCTACAGGTGTGAAGAACCAGCTACTGAAATGCATAAGTCTCACGAAATAAGTGAATTAAAACAAACAGGTGTAACAAGTCTCTAAACTGGCTTGACTACAACCAAAATATTATTTTAGCTAATTACTTTTCACATTATTTGATGAATGAGGGAGAAGTCTAGGAAGTCTAGTGCACTAATAGGGCTTTCAGTAAGATCATTACAGCAAAAAAGCTCTATCCTCGCTTATTCCATTTGTTTCCTCTTCCTCACAAAATAATCTCCAAAACCATCTGCACTGGGAGTAAAATTACATGTTGCCTCGCTCTCTCTTTCTGTCATCTAAACCTGTCTTTATGTCTCTCTCTGTCTGTCCTCAAAGCTCCTATAAAATCACACAGGAAGCAAAAGCTGGGAGGAAAAAACAGAACACTCAAACGTAAGAGGCTTGTGGACATCTCAAATGCACTCAGAGAAGCCATTAATAAAAATAATTAGCACAGGAGATGGGCGGAAAAAATGGGGGCCAGCTTGGCTGATGTAAAATCTCATTTCTGTTATTAAATTTATCGGAGACCGAAGCAGGAAATCCACCAATCATTTTGTTAGAGCACAGAGCTCCTTCAACAGGCATCTCTATCCTGGAAGGACATACAAGAGTACACACACATACACACCCACCCACACACACATACATAGAGATCCCGTCATCAAGGGCCAGAGGGGTCATTAGTGAAGGAAGAATATCAGATATCACCAATTCATCTTGGTCAAAATGATTAGAGAAAGAGGGATATATAGAGGGGGTGGTTGTGTGCATTCCTGGTTTAATGTACTATTGTGATCTTGGAGTCATTAATCAAACACCAAAAAACACGCACGCCCACGAAACGTTTCATACACACTGAGTTTGGGTTAAGGTTCGGAGAGGTCAAGGTGATTATTGTAACTGTGACTCACAGAAGTCAGCTACAAACTGCAACTCATGTTGGAGAGGAATCATTTTTAAGTCTACACTCTGTGTAGACATAATCACAGCTTCTCGTTGGGGAAAGCTCTGCCAATTAATGCCTGGCATTCAACCTTTTTTCCATATCTGTTGTCACCTCTTAGTAAAACCATTATAGGATATAAGACGAGGGGTATTCTAGAGTCCTACAAAGTTCATAGCACTCAGCTATGTCAGAGAAGCAGCATATAGCTGGCGCTGTGAATTGCTAACTGTCCAATACCCCATTTGGACAAATATAATGATGTGGCTGGTAAATCTGAAAAGGTCAGCAGTAGAAAGGCTAGATACTGCGTTCCAAGATGTCACCCGATTCACTTCTTTGACAATTTCTCACTGGCTGCATACACCAAAAACAATTTGAGCTTCCACTCAAGTCCTTCTCCGGCCAAGCCTGTTGAGAGCATCCTTCTAGATTTTTATTTCAGTTTGCAGACATTTTAATAATTACTCAACTACCCAACTGAAACAAGCAAAAAAAAAGACAGCAAGAGAGAGACAGAGAGTGTGCATCAAGTGGGCAAGCAAAAAAACTGCAACACGTCTCTGTGAATATGAATGCACACATGTTCAAGCAAACCAATACGTGGGTCTACGGCACATTTCATACATCGGCCCCTGTATGGAAAGGGTATAATACAGCACTAAAGTTAAGTCAAGTTCATCTTTAAAACCTAGTATCACATGCGATGTCTCAATGGGCTTTACAGGCCCACACAAAAACAGATCCCTTTTCAAAAACACATGGGACTAACAAGCAGAAGGCCTTATTTGTCTCGTCTCAGTGGTCCCTTTGTGCAATTTTCAATAGGCTAATCATTCAGAAAACAGCAAGTTAATAAACAAACAACTCACACAACAATATCTGACACAGAAATCAGGAATAATGGCTAACTATCAAAAGCACAGGCTACTTACTGCCTGTCCTACGTTCAAAAGTAAAATAAGCACATCTTAAATTGCCGACTTAAGGAAAACTCCATGGGACAAACAAGTAGAGGACCTGTTTGTCATCTAATTTGTCCCTTTGTGCAATTTTGAATAGGCAATTTTGAAAAGGCAATTCATACATACAATAGCTTCACATAGTATAAAAGCAAAAGAAAACAGGCACAAACCCTAGTTATTGAAAGTACATGGGACTTACTTAAGCAAACGTGTTTCATCCCAGTTAGAGCTTTGTTTTGAGCACAATGTGGATTGTGGGCATTTTGATTAGTAAAGATGATTGGAAATAAATTACGACAGAAAAAGAAAAAAAAAATCAGAAAGCGTTATATTGACAATTTCCTGCGCTACCCAAAAGCAGTAGCTGGCTACAGAGCTGGCAGCTGTCATGTGTGCAAGTCCCAGGGTACACAAACAAACACACAAAACACCATTGCAACAACTAAACAGACAAACACTGCTACATAAAGAATCAAATAATTCATGCAGGCAGGGTTAGTCAGCATTGCACTTTTGATATTTCAGTACTGAAGTACTCAGGCTGTGCATTATACTGTAGCTGATAAAAGACTCAAAAAGTCTGTACAACCCAATGCCAAATATTTTGCATGCCGAATTGGTTCAGCTTTTGTTCCAGCAAAATTTTTGTAAAGTTTGACTTCTAACTACAGTATGAACATATGAACTGCACCAAGGAGATCCAGTGAACATTACATTATTCTGTGTGAAACTTTTCAATAATATTTTTAGTGTTTGCGAGTCTCAAAAGGGACAAGTCATAAAACTCAAATGAGTCCTGAATCATGGTAGCGACTGTGGGCAATAATGGTTATGATAATAATGTTGGAGGTTGACTGCAACAAAGGGACAGTGATTGAAAGTATCCTACCGTGGTCTGTGATTTTACAAGACACAAGATAGAGCTCCTTCAGACTTCTCCCCTCCTTGGCGATGATTTCCACACACCTACAGATAGACACAGAGAAAGGACGAATGTTAAAGTGTCTACTGAGGCACCTGTGTTCTGGATCTTGCATTTCACTTTTGCTTGAGGGCTATTTTGACCGGTCTCAAAAACACTGAAATGCATGTGCACATACAGCAGTTTCTTTCCTCTGAAACTCCGTCTGTTACACACACACAGAGGAATATTCCACAGTAAAGGTTAAACAGTACAGCTGCAGGGTCATAACTGTTCACAGATCCTGCCTCTGCTTCTTTTAACACACACATTAATAATTAAACACCTGATCTGATTAAAAAAGCAGGCGCTAACACAGCAGGAGTATATGTGTGTATTTGTGCATGTGAGCAGTGCATAGACACACACACATATAGTAAGCTTGCTCACTTCAAAGAGGGATATCTGCATTCAGCCAAGTGCCTGAGCCCAAAGGACCAACAGTGTGTGTGTGTGTGTGTGTGTGTGTGTTTGTGTATGTGTGGGAGAGAGAGTATGTATACACTAGGGAGGGCCAAGGGGAAGATCAGAGTATCTGTATCAAATGATTCTCTTTAAATGCCTCTAATGAGAGGAGTGTTTGCAACAACTAGATTTTGATCAACGCATTTGACCTATTAACCTTCAGGAGAAAATGTTTTGATCTTTATGCTGCCGTTCTATCATGAATATTCACGAGATAAAAAAGAGAAGCACACACACACACACACACACACAGACACACACACACACACACACACACACACACACACACACTCTTAACACTTCCTCCGCAGGAACTACTGGTTGGACAACAAAAAGCCGTGTTTCCACCAAATGTACCTGGGACTTTTATAACCACGATCTACTTTTCAAGGAACTGAAAGGTTCCTTCAGTACATTGTTGTGTGCGTTTCCACCGCGGTCTAAAGACCTGCGAAGATTAGGCATATTAGCTAGCTGATGTATACGCTGTATAAGTGATGGACATGCATCATTATTTAGTAACCACTATCGATGAGCAAAACTTATAAAAGAACATCCGAATTGATTTTTATGTACAACAATAACAGCAGGCTAGCTTTGAGACACACAATAAAAGTTCTTTACAAATTTAATAACAAACTGGATAAAGCCATCAAGTTCAAGTGCAAAAGAACTGCAGAACAGAGAAACATAAAAACACAAACATAAAATCGCAACAGTTTGGATGGTCATTAAAACATTTCCAGATGACAAGAGCTGCAGAACAGGTTGCAGCACTCACATCTGTTTCCGCCTGAGCGTATTATATGAATGTAATACCGATGTACGATCGCAGGCAGACATCGGCAAGACTTGTGTGCTATTTGACTGTTGATTGTGATTTATTGGTTTGCAAACAATGGTGGAAAAGAGACGAGCATTAACAGCAAAACACCCAAAATGCTCGACTGAAAGCCAGTAGCCTCTACTCGACCATTCAGAAATCCACTGCAAGGGTGAGGAAAAAGTAAAACCCCCCAAACAGGCACTGTATTGGGGGTAAAATAAAGACCCTGAAACTAAATTTAGACCTTGGTCCCTGCGGTGGAAACACAGCTGGTCCTCCAAAGGTTCCTAGTTCCGGGGGATAGGTCCTGTGGTGGAAACACAGCTCAAGTCTCTTCAGCTGGAGACTCCTTCAGCTCCGCATCTATCTATCTGTCTATTTATTCATTTATTGTATGGCTCTCATCTTAATGTGAAAGCAGAGTTGGAAACAAAACAATTATGTAGGGCTGCCTTCAATCATTGTGCTTCATGTCATAGTGAAACAGGGAACAATGTTGAGTTCCGGTGCTCACTAAGAATGTGCACTGTGCTCGTACACTTTCACACAATGTTATTCTGAAATGCATTGCTCATATTCACTCAATATCCGCTGGCTTATCTCACCATAGACCAAGCGTGATGCGCGAGGACAGGTTGAGAGAATTTGAGCTTGTTTTCTCTCATGTCTTGTTATGCCACATCCTCACCATCTAGCAAACAGGAGTGAAAATAGGATACAGGGAATTCAGTACGGTGTCATTTTCTCTCGAACAAAACATGATTGGCAAAGTTTGTGTGTTTTTTGCTTCAGGATTCATTTAAGGTGACACAATTCATGGATGTGACTTGATGTGTGACATATCACACTGTAGGATCAAGGAGGAAAAGACGCTAGTGAGAGAAAGTAAAGTTAAAATGTGTGTCATATTTCGAAAATACTTCTTTCTGAGGGGAGCCAAAGCTGTTAAAATGTGCACTGTCCTGTCTGCTTTAGTTCACTGGTCTGCATCTTCATATTTCACATTTTCTATTAAATTTCTGTTGCAGTGGCCCTGCGAGCCTCTCCGTGTTATCAGGTAGTACTTTTCCTTCCTCTTCATTGTCCTCCCACCTCTCCCAGTTTATTTTTCTCTCTTTCTCTCCACCTCTTACTCCATCCCATTCTTCATCCTTTCTTTTATATCTTCCTCTTACTTTCTCTCTCTGTGGCCCACTCTAAAATTTTGATAAGAAGAAACTCCACTCTTGAAAACAGAAAAAGACCTGTTGCAATTGGTCATTCCTGACTCAACCCAGCCTTGAGCTGTGGCCAGCCTTAGAATAGATTCAGTAAAGCCAGCAGGATCACAATATCATGCAGTGTGTCTCGGGGCTATGGCATTAGAGCTGCTAATGAACGGATGTACCGAGAAGAAAAAAAGAGAGAAAGTAGCGATTCAGAGATGCAGCGACGGAGGCCAAGGCAGAGTGCATCCTCCGGGAGCTTGTTACACTGTGCCCGGGTCCCTGGGGTCAGAGCAAAAGCAATTAGATCAGACATCAATGAATGAGGGAGGGAGGAGAGAAGGAAAGAGAATACAGCAGGAAACAGAGTGAGTAGAAATGTCTATACAGGAGCTAGAGTTTGAACAGAGACAGAGGGGGGTACATCATGAGAGACAGACAGAGCAAAGGAAACAAGGAAGCAAAAAAGAAGAAAGAGTAAGAGGCCATTAATAAGGCCTGAGTGAGGTGAAATGCAAGGACTGAGGAGGCAGCAGAGGAGATGAGGGAGGACGGAGAAGAAATGTGGGATGTGATGACATAGGCATGGTTCACGCCACATGAAAGGCCTTCAAGAAGCAACAAGCTCCCACCCATCTCCACTGAAACCCTCAGCTGACATGAATTAGTGATCTGCTTGCTTTCAATAATGTACAGAGCATGTGAAAAAAGCCCCAGTTGCTGTACGGTGTGCATACTGAACATTTAGATAGAGTTGCAGAGGTGCTGCTACAGGAGACACCGTTGAAAGGAGAACATTAGGATGCAGAGCGGAGAGCACGTCAACGGCGTGGCAAGGTGGTTGAGCTCGAGAAGCTGCTGGTGATGTTGAAAAAGAAAGGAATAAGCAGGGAAAGCTGTGAAGAATGGGGAGGTGGGAAAAAAATACAGTTTTGAGTGACTTTGAAGAAAGAGAAAAACTTTTTAGAGAGGGAGGGCAGAAAAAGGAAATGGAGGATAAAAAAAGGGACAGGGGGAGGAAGTGATAGAAGAGAGAAAATGTGTAGGATCGTGATGATGAGGATACAATGTGAGACGCAGGAACAGAAATAAGGTTGAGAAAGGAAAACAAAGATTGGAAGATGTGTCAACAAATGGGAGAGCCGAGATTCGGGGGAAAAAAGTGAAGTGAAGAGAGGGTTAAGTGGAGGAGAAAAGGAGGGAGACAACACAAGATGACAAAAATGAAGGGTATGTTGAGAGGAAGGTTAATTAGGATGATTGTAAACAATAACAGATAAATGAGCAAGACGATGAGGTGTAAATGATGATGACAAGTGAATAAGGCGAGAAAGTCAAGCAAATTGTCTCCGCTACCACATAGGGCGAAAGACGCTCTCGCAAATATTATAGTCCAGAGGAAGCTTTTTGTAATAGTTATGTAGAGACCCTAATATCCGGCTCAAGGCCACTTTTTCCAATAAAATAACAATAAAATAGTTTCCATGACAACTAAGGGACTGCATGTTTGAGCGATTAGTGTAACCGGCAGCCAGGAGGGGAGAGAGAGAACCAAGAGAGCAAGCCTCAACAGGGGTCAGTGTGTGTTTGGCTCACTGTCACCGCGCTGTCGGCACAAACAGCTAAAGGTAAACAATAAAACTGTCAGTCCTCTCTCTATCTCACTCTTACAGTCGCATACATACAAAATCAAACTTTGGTTTGGTCCTTGGCATGTATGGGATTTGGGGGAATTTCTCTTTTTTAAAAACACACATGTTCTATCTAAATTGAATTACTGGACCCACACAACTGGACCTTGAGAACTTTGCTTAACCCTGAAACATCTTTTATGTTTAATTTTGTTTTCTTGCCAGCCGGCTAATTCCGCCTGACACATAATGTAGCCTTTGTCCGACTCCACACCGAAAGGAGACTGAATTACAGTAAAAAAAAAAAGACTGAATTACAGTAAAAAAAAAAAATAAAAAAAAAAAGTTTGTCCTAATTGACACAACATGTCTTCTACTTGAAAAGGAGGAAAGGATGGTTACTCAATAACCATGGTAACATTCTGTAGAGTACTCGCAATTGGAAGTAACAATTTAATAATCTGTCTGAAACACCTTAAAGGGGTGCAGATGCAGCTGTATACTTTCATAGCATCAGGAGAAAAACAACAGTAATTTGCTTTGCTGATACATAATTGCACTTCCCTTGGAATTTATAGGAAGAAAATGCAATTATGTTACTTTGAAACCATGGTAACTACATCACCGCTAATTTATCTTGTGATTAACAAAAGCATTTGTGAGGTTCTTTACATGTAAATGAGGCCCAAAGGTATGACGAGCTAAGTAGTGTAGATTAAGGTGGAAATGCCACAGACTGAGGAGCCTAGATGTTTTTTTAAACATCTATTTTTATTTCCCAGAATTTAATTTGCTCTTGGGCCATTTGCCCAACCTCTCCTAACTGCCACTGCAAATCTCCACAATTCATTAGCTTACCGAAAATTATTTTAGGCTAC